CTGTCCCTCTCTTCTCCTTCCCTCCTTCCTGCATCACCCTCCCCTCTCTCCGTTCTCATCCCCACCAGCTGACTAAAAAACTCAGCCGTTCTGTGCTTCCTGCACAGCAGAGCCTATCTTAATTAAAAATAGACGAATAAATAATAATTAAGAGATCCACACTGGGCTCCCCCACCTCCCAGTCATCATCTAGGTCTGCCTGTTTGCCCAGGGGATCTAGAGATTAGACCAAAAGAAGCTATATATATGTATATAAAATGTGTTGCTCAAAATGTCCAAAGCTAAACAAGCGTATGTTTAGGGCCGTACTCCCCACTCTGTGGCTTATGGACCCCAGGCCCTCACGTTGGGATGTGGTGGAAACACAGAGGCTGGAGCCAGTCTGCCTGCCTCCCATCCCTGCCCTGCAGCACATCAGCCATGACATTTTAGACAAGTCCTTGATCTCTCTGCCTCATGTTCTCTCTCTGCAAAATGGGAATAATAATAGTACCTGCTTCACAGGTTGCCATGGAGATTAAGTGCCTCTAAATGGAAAGATCTTAGAAGAGGACCCAGAACTTAATAAGTGCTCTGCAAGTGTTAGCAGTTCCCATAGGTGTTCCAGGAAAGGAAGTTTGGGAGGACCAGTGTTTGTGCCCCTGTCCCTGGTGCTGAAACATCACTGGTCACCTGAGTCCCCAATCCCCTGCTCCAACAAGAATAGCTGTTGCAGAATCTCCTGGGAAGGAGAAGGAACCACATCATACTCTGTCTCCGGGGTCTGGCGTGTCACCTGATGAATCACAATCCCCAGGGTTTGGCACAAGCCTTCTGCGTGTTTGAATATTTCTTAGGGGGTGGTTTGGAACCTCATTCTCTTGGGTATTTGTGTATCCCAACTCTAGCTTATCTGTCTCATGGATCATTGCTTATCAGTCATGTTATTTTCTGACATTCTGGAAAACATTGTAATTTTGATACTTTCACAGGGAAAAATCAAGATATGTTTCATATTAATGGCACAGATTTCACAGGCTGTTGGGAATTCTCTTATTTTGAAGGCAGGAGCATTGTTTCCACTCTGGGCCTCCTGCTTGGTATCTGTGATCCTCTGAAGTCCTCAGGAGCTAAATAAAGTCCACCCTTCCCCTGGGCATGCAGGCCTGGGGTTTGGGTGGTTGAAATGGTCTTAAGTATATTCATGGGCCACTGTCCCCCATACTGCACAGCTCTGGAGATGGGTGAGAAGACTGAGTTGTGGTATTTGCTCTTCCAGATACTGATTTTCTCTGGGACCCTGGAGAGAATCTTCTACTGTGAATAAAGAGTAGCACTGGGGGCGTTCTATTAGAAGGTTGGGAACAGGAGACTTCATTAGGACTCTCTGGCTTCTAATGCTGAAGAAAAGGGTAGATTGTACCTTTGCATTCTGTCTTGTCTTCTAATGTGCTGGATTTCAGAGCAGGTAAGAACACAGGCTCTGAGGAACATAGCAGTGGCTACAAGTATGGGTTTTGCAACCAAATCTGGGTTCAAATCTTGGACTCTGTCTTTTGCCAGCTATGCGGCCTTGGACAGTTGTTTCAGATTCCTGGGTCTTGACTGCCTAAGGTATATAACACACAATTCAATATGGACAGCACTGTCCATGTCTTTATGGGAAGAGATCAAATAAAAAAGCTGGCACAAATTGTCATCCTGTAAATCATCGTCACTTACTACAATCGTACAACTGAAATGTAACATGATATTCTTGGAGTCCTGAAAACTTCCACTGCTCTTTGTGAGTTCTAAGAATGAGGTAGAAGGCAGATGTTTGAGCTTGGGGAAGGGCAGGGCTGTGTAACCAGATCAGAGTGTTGGTCAATACCCTTTGTAATGCATCTTCTGCTGCCCTTTAAGGGTAGATGAATGAAGAAGAAAGGAAACAGGATCAAGGTTGCAGAAGGTCACAGTCTTTCCTGGCCCTGGTGTGGAAGCCCTGGATCAGTGTGGGCTTGGTGCTACTATAGCTTGTAGTTGGTCTGAGGGAGCCGTTGGGCAGGTAGCAAAACAGAGGCCCAAAGAAGTCCAGCAACTTTCCTTAAGGCCTCGGGGGGAAGTTGACAGCAGAAACAGGGTGTTCTTTTTGTCATAACACAAGGGATCTGGGACACTTGCAGTGACTCCAGCCATTGACTTCTTTGTAAAGAAGAAAAAACCCAAGGATATATGGGTCAGTGTCTGGGAGAAGGATTGGAGTGGCCTTGCAGGCCCTGGGGGTTGGGGACATGGACTTCAGCTACAGATTGACTGTCATGGAAGTTTTGACTCTGGTCCCCAATACCACTGTGAGCTTGGCCCCAGAGCCTCTGTTTCCTCATCATGCAGTGGGACAAATGGAACCCTGCTTCCTTGTCATGTGTCAGTAAGATAATCCAGGATGATCCCATGATGACACATGCTGCTTCTTTTGTGACGATGCCTCAGTTCTATGTCATGCTAAGATGTGGAGTGAGGAAGTGACGAGGTCTCAGGGTGGCCTTGTGCAGTGACATCATTTGCAGAATTGTACATGCTGTCTTCTGGAGGTGGAGGGGGCTGCCTTGGGACAGTGAGTGCCTCATCACTGGAGGGAAGCAAGCCCCTGGTGGAGGTGCAGCTGGGCGGGTGCGGCACCTGCTAGAGAAGCAGGCGAGAACCCCAGTGTCCATGAGGCCCACTCTCCCCCTTCTCAGTTCCCTGGCTCCTGCTCACTGGGGGCCTCTGTTTTCCAAAGCAGCAAGCAGTCTGCATGGTAATTACTTTTGGACTTATTAAGCATAATTATCCCCTAATCGCACACAACCAGTAATTACTGTGGCTGTTACCAGGGCCTACCCGTGCAGTGCCGCCCGCAGCACCGGGGTCCAACTCCCAGCTGGGGCTCCGGCCCTGGGGTTGGGGGTGTTGCTGGGTGGGTCTCCTGCATCCCAGATCCCCAGTCTAACTCCCTTCAGCCTGGACACCAGGCTGGCAAAGGAGCGGATCATATGTGCCAGCCCCAGGCCCACCCCAATCTCTGACCAGTTCCCATCCTCCCAAGCCCTCCCACACTGTTTGCTTGCCCACGCCACCCTGCCTTTGCCCCTGCTGTCCCTTTCCCCTAGGACTCTCTTCCTCTTCTCCTTTACCTCTCTCCTTCCCTCCAACCTCCAGTCCTCCCTCTTTCCTTCCTTCACATATTTATTGGGTATCTTTTGTGTTCCTGGAACTATTCTAGGCCCAGAGGGGTAGGGGTGGGGGGGAAAGCCCATGCCCTCAGGGAGCTTCAGCTCTGTTGGGAGGGAGGGTGGACAAACCCAGCAAGTCCCCTAGTGCTTTAGAAGGGGCTGTGTTCTATGGAGGAATAGAACCAGGGTGGTGATAAAAAAGTGTTTTTTTTTTTTGAGATGGAAGAGAAATTAGCAATTTTCATAGGCTGGCCATGGTAAGCCTCTTGGAGAATGGAATGTTTGGACAAAGAATTGAAGGAGGTGATAAGCTACTCTGGGGAATGTTCCAGAAAGAGGGAACATCCAGAGCCAGAGCCCAAAGGTGGGTGCAGGTTTGGTGCGGTTTGAGCATCAGGGAAGAGGCCAGGCCAGCCTCTTGAATGAGGACGGAGCTGTTGGGAAGATGGAGGGGAGGTTGCCTGGAGGATCTTTCTGAGAATTGTGACTTCCAAGGATGAAACATCTGGGCAGGGGCGTGGCCTGATCCCACTCCTATTTTTATAGCTCCATTCTGTCCACAGAGAAACCTCAGGGTCCAGGTGGGAGTCCAAGGAGGAGGAGGGTTGCAACAACCCAGGGAGAGAGGAGGGGGCTTGGCTGACTGGGAACCAGGGAGCTGGGAGGAATGGAGGGATTCTGGAAACGTGTTTAAGGTAGAGATGGCAGCATTCTCTGATGGGCGAGACAGAGGTGTGAGGGAGGCGGCAAGAATGACTCCCAGTTTTTGGCTTCAAGGGCTGGAAAGATAAAAGCTGCCTTCGGTGGAGCTGGGCAGACCGCGGGCGGGGCTGATTTCAGGGCGGGAGGACATGGCTCGGTGTCGGCCGGTAAGGCCTCCGCCAGCCCCAGCCCCGGAGGGTGTTGTTCTGGGTCTGGATGGAGGGATGCCTGGGGGCCGGCATGCACGATGGCCTTTAAAGCGTCCAGACTGGATGTGCTCATCTGGTGAGAGAGGGTAGAACCCAAGAGGCCCAAGGAGTCCTATTCCCGTCCCCCAGTGTGGGGACAGGGGGGGGGGACCGGAGGAGCCAGCGAGGGAGACTGGGAAAGGGCAGTCACGGAGGCAGGAGGACGTGGGCGCTTCGTGAGTCCTTGCTTCTTTCTCTCCTTTTATCCCCACCCTCACCCCCGCCGCCCCTCCCGTCTTGGTGCCTTCCTCTGTCTCTCTTGGGCTCTTTCTCTGGGCTTCCCCTCCACTCCTCCTGGCAGCTGGTCTCAGGCCCCAGGGCACGGGGATCCCTGGCAGCCGCCACCTGGGAGCGCCAGTCTCCTGCGGCGGGGGCGTCTCCACCGGCCTTGGCCGCGCCGTGCCTCCTGCCCGCCTAATGCGCTCTAATATTTATTTACACGCCGTTCAGACTATTATTTATCAAGGTATCGCTGCCAGCTGTGCGTGGGCTAATTGATCTTAATGTGCCACCTCCGGGTTCCCACGGTGATGCCTTCGTGGTGGCGGAGCCAGAGCTGCTCAGAGCAGGGAAACTGAGGACCGAGTGCGCGGTTGCGGAGACCGCGGCGGCGCAGAGGGCCGGGGAGTGCGGCCGTCGGGGCGTGGAGGGTGCTGGGAGCGCACTGGGGACCCGAGGAGTGCGGGGCGGGGTGGCGGAGCTAGAGCAGCTACAGCAGGTGTGTGTGTTTGGTGGGGGGCAGTTTGCCAGCCCCCAAGGGGCTGTTCAGGGAACCTGGGTGTATGTCTGATGTTTTCCCGTCTTGTCTGGCTGTCTTTCTCTCTCTCTCTCTGCAGAGCTGGAATGGAACCCTTGGCCTCATGCGTGCAAGGCAAGCGCTCTACTACTGAGCCCCAACTTGAGTGGGATCTTGCAGGGAGGTTTGGATCCCCTGCACTCGGGTCTGGTGCAGGCTACTGAAGGCTGTTGAGCCTCTCCCCGCCCCACCCGCATAGGCAGCCTCGCCTCACCTGGTTCTCCCAGCCTCAGCAGCCGCAGCCGCAGCTGAAGCTGGAGGGAGAGGTTTAATTGGCAGGCTTTTGGGTTAAGGAGAAATACTGCTTTGCTGGGGTGGGGACTAGTGGATGGAGGGGGAAGGGGGTTGGAAAAATACTGAGAGAACCGGCAAATACAGCCAGGCAACAACAGGATATGGAGGCCGCAGAGACACAGGAGGAAGGGAGAGGGGCCTTGCCAGGCTGGCTTGTGCCACTGCCTAGCAGAGGCCCTCATCCCCCCCTCCATGCTGGGGACCACCCAGCCTCCCTGCATCTGCACAGGGCTTATCTGGGACATTTATTCATTTAATTTTATTACTGTACTGTGGGTACAGTGCCTGCCAACTCTAACGCCTTGTCAGTGTTACCCCGAAAGTCCCCTCTCTAGGCTGGGAGTTACAGCATAATGAAACCCAGAGAACTCTGCCCTGTCCCTCACTTAGTAATGACTGATCTGAAGGCCTCTGAACAAGGGTCTCCTGGGACCACCATGCCTCAGCTGGGCCAAGCACAGACAACCCTGGTGAGGTAGGTGTGGTGGTTTTCAGGGTGGGAAACCAGGATACTCAGAGGTGAAGGGAGGTGCCCAGCGTGGGGGCGGGGGCAGATGCTGGCTGGTGGCTGGTCTGGCAGTTACTGCATTTTCCACTGTCTGGGGCTCAACCTCTGATGGTGGTTGTAATTTTGTTGGGTCCCTTTGCCCGGAGGGACATTTTCCTGGAAGTCACAGAGCTTACTAGAACTGAATCCAGGGATCTGCCTGGTTGGGGCTGTGGCCTGGGGCTGGCTGTCGGCTCTGTATGTTCCTGGGTTCGCAGAGCTCATTGCTCCGTCCTAGGACCAGATGCCCCCATGCTAGATCCTAGCTCCTGGAAACTGGCGCCTTTGGCCCAAGAGAAGATTCCTGACTCTGGGAGAGGTGACACAACCTCAGAGGGAGCTGGGGGAAATCCTTGCCACCCCTTTGTCTTTGAATGTTCTGGATAGAGGACGACAATGCTGAGCTCATGGCCTGAGAGTTGGAGGGAACCCTTGGGAGTCGTCCGGTTCTCCGCCATCTTGTAACAAATGGGGAAACTGAGGCCCACGGAGGGGAAGGGTCTTGCCTACGGGCAAACAATTGGAGCACCTGAAATAATTTGGGCCCTCACTGAATGATGGCAGGGAGGCAGGAATGGCGTCTCTTCATCTTATTGCAGTTTGGGGGATCTGGGGGTGGGCATGTGTGTGCTTATCTCCCGTCTGTGCCAGTGTCTCTCCAGCTCACTCCTTCCCACCCCCCCAGCCCCAGCCCAAGTGGCTAGCTTGTGTGATGACCCTTCTGAAATGTCCTTTCTGGCCCTCACCTTTACCTGCATGCACTCACATTTCATGGTGGCTCACCTTTAGACCCCATGAAGGCATTTTTTGGGGGCACCTGAGTGACCTTGGTCCAGGCCCCATCCTCCCTGGGCCTCAGCATCTCCAGCTGTAAGGTGGAGGTGGGGTGGGCATTTGCAGGTTTCTAAGCATCCTTTCCAGCTCTGACATCTAGGGACTGCCCACAGCTGATTCGTGGGTCCTCTAGGCCAGGGCCCATCTGCTGCTTCCTCTGCTTGGGGCAGCAGTGGGAGCAGTACTGGGCCCCAGTGAGCAGCCGAAAGACAGGAAGATTTGTCACCGATTCTCCTCATGTGTCCTAAGCATCCTAGTCTCCAGCTGCCTTCCTGGGGAGGGACAGGAAGAGTTGGGCTATATTTGTCTTCTTGGGATGGGGTGGGGAGGGGGGACTTGGGCAAGGGGAGAGCGATCCTGCAGGCCCAGCAGCTGAGCAGGGAAGAGAAGTTCTTTCTTTAACTCAGGCAAAAAATGAAAAGCTCAGTCCTTGAAGCTCCCCTTCCCTTCCCTCCTTGGCCCCATTAGCCTCTGCTGGGAGTACCCAGCACACAGTAGGTGTGGAGTGATTCACAGACAGAGTGAATGAATGGAGAATGCCTTGAAGTAAAGGGACCTGGGTTTGAGTCCTCCCCCACCAGTTTCTAGCTGGTGACCTTGGGCAGATTGCTTGATGTCTTTGAACTTCGGGTTCCCCATCTGTCCCACCCAAATGATAACTTCAAGAGATGTGAGGAGGAAATGAGAGGAATCAATGCAAAGGCCTTAGAATCGGGTCTGACATTTAGGACTCCTCCAACGGTAACTTCTGGTTATTTTTACTAAAGATAGAATGGCTGGGTCAGCCTCTAACGGTGCACTCGGGCATACATTTCCTGAGCATCTAAGGTGTTCCAGGCACTGCAGATGGCCTAGAGAAGAGGGAGGCTCCGTCTCTGCTCTCTGGCCTCTCATAATCTGATGGAGGAGACTCATGGCCACATAGCCCTGAAATAGCACTGAATGGCCTCCTGGTAGCCATTATGGAGAGTGCAAAGGGGCCACGGGAGCCGAGTCTGGACAGGACCAATCTGCTCTGCAGCGGCAGGTCAGGGGAGGCTTCCTGAAAGAGGTGGGCTGTAACTGTACTTGGAAGGACGCGGGAGTTTGCCCCTGGGGAATGCCCCTTCTAGGGAAAGAAAGGTGCAGAGGCTTGAACTGCTTGTCTGGGGGACACTGAGAATCTAGTCTGTGCTCCTGTGTCACCTTGTCAGGAGGTGCTCTCTCCTAGCCCTGGATTAACAGCACCCTGTCCACTCTCACTCCCTCTCCCTAACACTGCTTCAGTTTTTCCGCCTGTCATCTTGGCCTGGTGTTGGCCCTAAGTTCATGTTTCTCTCTCTACTAGAACATCAGCCCCACGAGGGCAGTGTAGTGGGGCCAATCTTGTTCCCCCCGAGCAAATACTTTGCAATTCTAGCCCCCAGGACCTCTGAAGATGACCTTATTTGGAGATGGGTTGTTTAAAGAGGTAATAAGCCAAAATAAGGCCATCCGGGTAGCCCTAACTAAATAGGACTGATGTCCTTATAAAAAAGGGGAGACTTGGAGACGGGCATGAACATGGGGAAGAGGCCACATGAAGACCAGAGACCTGCTGCCACAAGCCGAGGAGCTGCCAGAGGCTGGGAGAGAGGCCTGGCACAGATGCCCCTCTCACAGCCTTCAGAAGGAACCTGGCAACACCTTGATCTTGAACTTGGGGCCTCTGGAACTGTGAGACAATAAATGCCTACCGTTTATAAGCCCCTGGTCCTTTGTTATGGGAACCCTAGCAGATGAATACAGGCAGAGACTTTGATTTGTTCTTTGTTGCATCCCAGAGTCTAGAACAAGGCCTGGGGTTTAGAAGTAACTCTGCTCAGAGCTCTCGAAGGAATGGATATCGGCGTGACACGGAGGAAGAGAAAGAAGGAACCTGAAAATCTAGTTTGGGCAAAATGGTGAAAAGAATCTTACATGTCAAGCCAAGTTTGGGAGGCAGGCAGGCAGCGAGGAGCCCCTGGAGGTATTTTAGAGGATTCCCCTGGAGGTGCAGAGGCCCACTTGGAGGCAGGGAGGACAGGGCAGGGGTTAAACAGTACAAGAGAGCAGTGACAGGACAGGGTGACGAGATGACAGTGCAAATGGAGGGAGACCTGCCAAGCAAAGGGTGATGCAGGGAGGGGAGCTGGAGGACTTCATTCCTTACAGGTCTCCCCTGCACCCTTTCTCTTCCTGTCTAAACCTCACCTCTCTCTCACCTGATATGCAAAGTCCACAGTATCTGGGGTCATATCAGATACCCTTGTGGGAGGGTGGGAAAAGGGGCTGTCCCCAAACCAATCATGCACAGTGCTCCAGAAGGGCTGCCCCCAAGAGTGCACATGGAGGAGGCAGAGCCCTATTTGGGAAAACCCCTGTATGAGGGAGGAGGTAAGATCTCTGACTTTGGAGAACCTCCAATCTGGTGGGGGTGGGACCTGCGTTGGAAAAAGACCTGCAAGTGCAATTAGGAGCACCCGCCCGGTGTGTTGGGGAGACAGACCACAGATGCACGCATTAGTAAAATATGCCACAAGAAGTTGCCATGTTGTGGAGGTCTGGGAAGACTTCCTGAAAGAAGTGGGTTTTGCATGAGGTTATGGGGTGTGTGCCAATATGGCAGAGAGGAGGAGGAGCAGGGAGGAGCCAAGCATGGAAGGACAAAATGATCACCTTCTCTTTTCTAGACAGGTGAGCCAGCCTGGTTGTCTGGACACACGCCGAATATGTGACAGCCTTTCAGTGGGCTTCTTGGCCATTATGAAGCACCCGTTTTTAGCAAAGAAAAAAGACTGTTGGCAGGGGACAGGAATAACTTCCAAAGCTTCTCCTTCTTGCGCTCCTGGTTCCCCACTTCTGCTGTGAGGGACCCTGGGTGCGGAAGGCAGAACACACCCACAGCGCCCTCTGCTGGAGAGGCAGAGCCGCACTGTGCCTTTGAGAGCCAGCCTAATCCAAGCAAATAGCTCCTGCTTTCCTGCCCTGGGGAAGCTCCAGAATCTGAAGCCCCCAATGCAGGGTAGGCAGAGATTGGGTCAGTGCCTGGGAGGGCCCTATCTGCCATCTGGAGGATCTGGGACCCTGAGAATTATTCAGTTTAGGATGTCTGAACTAGTCCTGCAGCCATCTGATTGGGGATTAGGTCCTGGTCCTAGGTATCACCTCCCCCAGGCTAGGGAAGGACTTTTCCCAGCAGAGGTCACCCTAGATGCCCCCGTATTTCCGTGTATCATGGAGGAGGTGTGCCCCTTCTTCCTCTAAGGCCCTGGATCTGGGGCAGATGAACTTTGGGTATGGGTGTCTGGATGCTTCCGGGAGGGATTCATGACTGGGAAATTCCAGGTGGTATTCTGAGGGAAGGAGAGCAACTGTGTCTCAATGCAGAACGAGAGAGCTGGCAGAGTGGGGCTGGGGATCAACTCGGTATTTTCTCCCCTGATCAGACCAGAATAAAGATGAACTGAGCCCAGGGGAGCTCAGGTTTCCTAGGAGGGCAAACAGTGCCTTGGGGGCAAACTGGCTGCCACAGGAGAGAGGACCTAGGAGACCCGGAAACCCAGCCACCGGGCTCTCTTCATTCTCCCCCTCAGAATTCCTGGAGCGAACCCAGGAGGCCTGAACCCCTGCTTTCCTTGGCATGTATTTCCCTGGTGAAGGGTGAGGAGGCACGCGTGCGCGTGCGCGCGCACACACACACACACACACACACACACACACACACACACACACCTGGCTTATACAGGAGGCCCAATGGGGGATGAGAGGAAAGAAGCACATTTTCTCCCAGAGTCAGAGGCGGTGTCTGGCTCACAAGTCAGGTAGATGCCAGGGGGCCTTCAGGTCTCCCTGTAGCCTGGAGCACCAATGGGAACGGTGAAAAGGCTCGTCTATCTCAGGATGAGCCTGCGGCCCTGCTGATCTTCACCAGGCCATGGTGGGGAGCAGGGTTCTACTGACCCTTTAAATCTCAGCCCGTTGGCATTTTTCATCAGCCCTGTTAGGGGCTCTTAGCATATCACAGAAACGTTTCTGATCTATTGGATTCATTCATCTGGCTGCTCACTCAGGCTGCAGGGACCTGCTCACCTTGTGTGCCTGTGGCAGGCCAGAAGCACCAAGGAATCGATGCCCCTGAGTGGCTCACGGCCAGTGATTGAGTGGAGTTGGTGCACATGCCCCGCTCCTCTGTGAGCTTTGAGATGTGCTTCTACCTGGAGCTCTTGTTTGGAGGAGGGTCCCCGCCCACAGCACTAACCAGCTTAGTAAGTTTCCTTGGGTCAGTGTCCTTCCCTAAGGGCATTTCCTGAGGTCCCCAAGTAGACTGTTTGCACTGAATCCTTGTCTCAGGCTCTGCTTCTGGGCAAATCACCAGGACCAACTTGTCCTGGTTTGTCCAGGACTGTTCTAGCCTTAAAACTTTCCTGGCACCCTCCCTCAGTCCTGGGCAAACTGGGACCATTGGCCACCTTAGGAGGAACCCAAACAAGAGAGAGATGATTCACTAAGAGAGGCAAGCAGACCCCTGAACTGTTAGTTTGGAAGCCAAGGATTATGGGCTTTGAGAACAAAAGAGAAGACACATGTATAATTTTGCCATATGGATGGTTTTTATGTGCTGAAGGCCCACAGGAGAACAGTAGCCACCAGGTACAAGGCATTCCTTTGAGAACAGATGCACGCATAACCTCGGGGCAGGATTTTCTAAGTGTGGTGGATGCCCAGGGCCCAGGACCGATGTCCAGGGCCGATCCCAGGACCTTTGCAACATCTATAATGTAATTGGCTACTGGGTGAGAAGGTGATGCAGATAAGGACGACGATGTGTGACAGGCTCAGTGGGGTCATTACAGGGGAGCAGGCGAAGGGGTGGGCAGCATATTAGAGGCACTTGAGGCTCTGCCAGGGACAAGCACCAACCATGCCACGGACCTGGGCAAATAGTGAAACCATATGACGTGTCGCCATGGTCAGCGCATTGAGGCGAGGCGCTTTGGCTTGGAAGCAGCTGTAAGCTCGAGACAGCTGGCCCCGAGCCAAGGAGACCTGAGTGGGAAGTCCCACCGTCAGGTACCCCAGGAAGGAGGTGCTGTTGAGCGACAGGCAATGGGTTGGGGCAGGGCTGGACACACGAGTCAGGGTGCTCTGTAGCAGGAGGCTGAAAGCCTGGCCGGGTGCTGCTGCTGAGCCCCAGATGGGGTGGTGGGGGGGGCTGATCTCTGTAGCTCAGACTAACCCAGCTGCAGAATGCCATAGCCTGCCCTGGTTATTTTTACTCTGGCGTGGCGGAGGATGCTGTTCCCAGCTGAGCGATGCATCCTCTTTTTTTGGTTGACTTCTCTAGTCCCTGCTGGGTGGAGAAAGCCCTCTTCCAGAGTCACAGCCACGAATACGTGCCCTGTTCCCGGGGTGCCAATCCCTTCCCTTCCCCTCCCCAGGGTACTAAGGATATGGAATGTCTTTGGGACTGGGGTCACCTGGAGATGTCACAATGTGCCAGTCGTGAGAGGCAGCAGTGGGAGCCCTAAATGGCGAATGCTGGGGTGTCACGCAATTCTAACCAGGTGGGTGACGGGGCAGCCAATCACCAGGAGGGGGAGGCACCCAGATGGGGGAAGGCCCCTTTCCTTACTCCTTTTCCTTGGGAGACCCTGACGACGGAGAGACAGGAAAACAGGAGGAAGCTTGGCTCCCAGATAAGGGTAGGGATAGCAGGGTGCAAGCAGGAGTTAGAGGAAACTTCCAGAAATCTTTACTGCCCTAGGAGAGCCGGGGGAAGAACCCTTTTTCATGCAACTGAAGAGCAGGTGGAAACCCCCAGGAGCTTGTAGTGGCTCCAGCTTCTCCATTCATCAGCCAGAGTAAGTTCCAAAGCGGGTCAAGCGGGACAGTGGACACTGTCCCTTTTGCTCTCACAGGGGGCACTGGCAGGGAAATAGGCGAAGGCTGGAAACCGAGCGGCCTCTGTACAGCGGCATCAGCCTTCCTGGGCATGGGGCCAGAGTTCCCGGGATCTGGAATCGGTCTCCTCAGCTGAGGGGCCTCAGGTTCAGGGCTCTGCTTCGGGGACCTGCCCGACCTGGACAAGAGGGCCTGCGGCGGGAGTTCTACTTGGTCGCCCAATGCCATGGCCATCAGGGAGTGTCTGAGACTCGGTGGGCTGGCTGTCCGTGCCAGGTGCTTGGGCAGTGCTAGTCTAAGGCTCGACCCACACATGGGGGGACCTTGGGGCTGGGAGCACGGTCCGTCTAGACAACCCGCCTGGAACACCAGGGAGGGGGGCCGTGGTCCATGGAGGAGTCTCTTCAGATGCTTCTTGTGCAGCTCTAAAGGGATGGTGACAGCACCCGGGATGCCCACAGTACCCTCTATGCCTGGCAAACAGCAAGCACTCCACAAAGGCTTTTGAATGTCAATGCCAAAGGATCCTGGGGGGATCTAGACCAGCTGAATACCCTGGGAAGATCCGCATGCTGGGTCACCTCATTGGAAATGGTGCACATGAACTTCACATCCAACTTAAAGAAGTTTTTCCCTAATACTACACTTGCCCTCAGAATGGCCTCTCTTATTCACTTCTCACTCATCCTTTTGCCGTGGGGGTCATTACAGATGACATATGGCCACAGAGGAAGCAAGCAATTTGCCAAAAGTCACACAGCACCCTGATCGTGGGAGTGGGACTAACCCTTAAGTGCCCCACTTCTTGGCTCAGTCCCCCTGAAGGCAGCGTGGGTGGGGGCTGAGCTGGACGCAGACATTGGGCATTTCATCCCTTGGTGTGACCTCAGAAGCAGCGGCTGGTTTAATGAACCAAACCAGATTAATCCAATAACCCAGATGACAGGGGCAGTGTTTTCAGTTAGGGGACCTTTGCAGCTTTCTGAGTCTCCCTGCAGGCGCACATCCCCTAACGTCCTCGTCTTTTCCTTGAAGCTGGTCTCGTGATCCTCTGCTTGACAATGCTGGAGCAGTTCCTGAGGCTGCGAGAAATCTCAACAACGCTGTAGACCTTTCAGAAACTCCTGTCCAGATGTCCCCTGCAGCCCTTGGGTTGCTTGAAACCAAGGGGATTTGCTCCTCTGCGCATGTGGTGCTGGGCAGGGGAGCCAAGGGTTGCAGAGATCAGCACTTTGCTGTGTTGCAGAAGCGCTCTGGTGGTCGCTGCAGGGGCAGGGTCTAAGGGGCTCACTGGGGAGGAGGGTGGTGTGCCCACTGCCTTGCTGGGTTTCTGGGTTATTCCTTCCAAGCATCTCATGGTATTAGTTCCATACTGGACAGTGGCTGGCCTGCTCCCAGCCCTGGTCATTGTCCACACCAAGGCCTGCAGACCCAACTCAGTCTCATGGCAGGGGTTTCCAACCTGGTCATGTTAGAGGAGGAAAGAGGCCCAGGATGCACATACCACTAGTTCAAGGCCACGTAGAGAGTATAGCCAATCCATGTTCACTAAGGTGGAAGCATCTTGGAGTCAGAAAATCTGCAATGTCAGAGGAGGAGGAAGATCCCCCAGCTCCAGGGAAACCACTGCCCAAACCAGAATCAAAGCTGAGACCTGAGTCCGGGTGTTCCCACTTGCAGACAATTTTCACATTCCTGCTAATTCTCGAAGTGGATGCCACCCCTCTCACCTTGCCCAGAAGCTAGGGCAGCTAAGGAAGCAGGGGAGGGGGATTGCAGAGAGATGACCCAGCTCGCCTCACTCCTCAAGGCCCCGAGCAAGACAACCTAGAGCCTTTATCCCCCGCTGTGGCTGCAAGGGCGGAGAGGGTCCCTCTCGGGGGATGCTGCAGCATGGCAGGGCGGGGCACAGAGAGCGGGGCACCATGTCCTGTGGGCCTGCCTGTTCCCCCTTCACACCAGTGGCACTCTGCTGAGATCCCCCCACCAACCTCAGTTACACACTGTCCCCCTCTTGACTCGTCATGAGGCTGGGACTTGTGCCAGAGCCACAAGGCTCCCCGTTGGTGACTTTAAGGTCTCTCTGTGGAGGGATGTCTGTAGGACTTCACACCAGACCCCTGGGAGCCACCCTGGGTGAGGAATTTGATGAGAGACTCCTTGGTGAGGTTGAGACCCATCTTCTGGGGGGAGTCTGTGGGAGTGGCTGTGATTGACACCAGTCACGAGGGACTTTGAGGCTGGGGAACACCAATCCATGGCTATCCCATGGTGGGCCTATTTCCCCCAAATAAATCATGCCTCCTAGCCCAAACTGCCATGTCCAAATGCACTACAACTAAGAACCAGTTTGCAAAGCAGGCCCCCCCCCCACCCTCCACAGTGGTTAGAGAGGGACCCACTGTCCCGGGTTGTAGTGCACTTGGAGATGCCTCTCTAGCTGCTCAGCCCAGGGGATGGAGTTCACTTCCTCCAACTCCTGCAAGTGTGTAGATCATTTCAGGTGCTGCCTTAGCTTCTTCACTGATCCCTGTCAGCACGTCTGTCCTTTTTGAACTATTTCTGCACAGATTGAAGCTTCAGTCTAATATTTTGGCTCACAGATAACCTCCCTTGGTGCCGCCCAACACCTCTTCTTAGACAGGAAGTCACAAATGATCAGCAAACCAGTATTGAAATGTACAGAGGGAGCTTCACCCAAAGAAAAGGCCCTCAAGCAACTCTTTTGCAAAAGCTCTCTTGGGAGAGCTGTTTCTCCAGTTGGCTTGGAAGTGGGGTCCTAGAGTGTCACCATGGAGACAAGAGCCTATCCCACAGCATAGACACAGGAGGCCTCTCCGTGCCTAGATGCAGATGGTAGGTCTGGTTATATGTTGCTGGCTTCTCTCATCTCCCCTTTTATTTGAGCGGGGCGCTGCTGTTTCCGCTCTGTGCCCACACGGTCTTCCTCCAGAAAAAAACTCAGGTTTAATTGCATTGCCTCTTGCTATTCCCCCCAGCACTGCCTGAATGTCTGGGCAGCAAGTAGCATTGAACCATTTTTAAAGATCTAATCCAGATGCCTCATCTCACCCTCTTATTTTATAGATGAGGAAACTGAGGCCCAGGCATCGGGCAGGGACTGGCCTGTACTTACAAAGGTGAGTGGTGGCAAAGTTGGGGATTGAACTCAGGCCTCCTGACTGCCAGTCCAGGGCTCTTTCTAGCAAGTAGTATATTGGCTACAGTTTCAAAAAGGTCCCCACTGGGTGGAAATGGCCCATGCCCCCCTGCCCCCCGCCCCCTCCCCCCACTACACATAATTTGGGTTATAGCAAAGCATATTGAACTCCAGGTTCTCATCCCAGTGCCGCAGGAGTACGAACAGCTGGCGGGCTGCGGCCTTGAGTGTGCCCCGCGTGCGGCCCTCAGGTACTTCCTGCTGCTCCAGCCAGGAGTTGGCCTTGGCCGCCACCAACTCCCACTCAATGAAGTAGGAGGCCGAGCTGTGCTCCAGCCAGGCCAGCCCCACCACGGTGGCCCACAGCTTCCCCGCGTGCTCTATCAGCACCTTGGACTCCAAGCTCAGCCTGCTGTCTGCCAGAGGTTCCAGGGAGACACTGTCGCAGGACAGGTGTCGAGGCGAGGGGCTGTTGCACAGCTGGGGACTCAGAGTCTTGGATTCGGGCTGGCGGGCAGTGAGGGACATTCGGTGGCAGTGGAAGGGCGAGGTCCACTTGAGCTTCTCCATGGGGATGTTGATAGCCTCACAGAAGGCTTGGTTGAGCAGGAAGGCCCCGCAGGCCAGCTGCAGAGACACCTGTGTGGGGAAGCCCTCAGTGGGCCTCAAACTTGTCAGCCCGTGGAGCCCCCCGGCCAGGCAAAAGTCCCGCTCCTCCTAGCTCGCCTGCTCCTGTCCACCCTCCTCACCCTGTGGCCCCGGGGGATATTTGGGAAACTCGGGCCAACTGAGCATCCCCGCATCAGTTCCCACAGGGGCCGCAGACTGATTCTTTCTAAGGCCAATTCAATGTCTTCCTGCTCAACTTGCCTCTTGATCTGGGTGGGTGGGCCCAGCTTGGCCACTGTGACCGTCCAGGACATCCAGGGGACTCTGGCCTCCTCCTCCCTCTCCGACCCTGCACACGGATCAGTTTCCAATCCCAAGAGGATTCTACCTTCTGAATGGCTCACCCTCTGCTTCCTGATGAGCCCCTCTCCCCTCTCTCCCCCTCCCTCCTCAATCCGTCTGCCCTGCACCCAGGGGAATCTTCAGAAGGCACAGAGAGCGCATTGTTTGAATGCTCAGTTCCATGTTTTCAATTTTCTATTAAAGGAAGTTCAGGAGATGATTCACAAAGCCCCGTGCGACCTGCCCCTGTTGGCCCTGGGCTTTCATCCCCCGCTCCTCTCCCTTCCCTAGCTGCCAAGCTTGCTCTCTCCTCCCCAGGCCGTAGGCTGCAGCTCCTCATTCTTTGGGCTTGGCTTAGCCATGACCTTTTCTGGGAAGTCATGCTTGATCTTGCCACTGCCCCCCTCTCAGGCCTGGGTTGTTACCCCCTGTATTTCCCACCACCAAAATGCCTGGCTTTTCCTCTGGGTCTCCCAGGACTCTCAGCCACGCAGTCCCAGGAAACTAGTTTATCTAGTTGCATTGATCTAGTTCACGCTTGTCTCTCCAGGGCCTCACAGTAGCCTGGCTCACTGCTGAGTGCATAAATGCATTTTGAGGGATTCAAAATGACACGTGTGTGCCCTTGGGTGGACAGAGACAAGTGCCGGGCAGCAAGGTGTAAACTGTGCTCCTCCTTTGAACACCCTGTGATTCCCCCAAGTCCTAGAGGCCCAGATAGCCCACCCCAGACCTGGGCTCCTCACCCACTGCAGCATGTGGGGCATCTGCAGAGCCATGTGCTAAACGTGGTGCGTGTCCCTGGGGTGTTAATTTTACTCACTTGTGAGTCATTTCAAGACTTATTTTTATGTACTGAAAAACAGACACACATAGATGGCAAGTAGAATGCAAAATTCCTGTGAATTTTTAGGGTGAAGATAGCAGATTGCATAGAAGTTTTCATGATGCCAGCACTGGCCTCTAGCGACTCCCCAGACCACCCCACCACCTGGATGGGGGGACTCATGCTAACTCCCTCTGTCCTGCTGGCTACTGGGGCGGGGCTTTCTCGTAGGCTCCAGAACTCGGGATCTGAACTCGAAGACAAGGTCTCCTTCTCTCTGGGTGGGGGAGGGATGGTGGAGACTCACAGGCTGGGCTGGAGGGGCTCTGAGGCAGGGTGGGGGTACTCACCAGGGGCAAGTAGTCAAAACTCTGGCTCCCCAGGGTGGCCTCTGGAGTCTTGACCAGTGGCTTTCTCAGGAAGCCCTTGGCTGCTCGGCTCAGCAGCCTGGAATTGTTGAGAGTCAGCCTGTGTGGGTAAAGGCAAGTGTCCCCGGCCATCCCAGCCCCCAGGACCCACCAGAAGCCTGTGGAAGCCAGAGGCAGAAGGATCCAACAGATGGCCTCCTCCAGCCTCCCTCACTGGACAGCTGGGGAAATGGAGGCCTCCGCGAGTTAGCGGCAGCACGACAAGAACAGGTTCAAGTTCTTTTATGAGCCTCTTTTTGTTTTTGGGGGGTACCAGGGATTGAACTCCGGGGCACTCGACCACTGAGCCACATCCCCCTATTTTGTATTTTATTTCGAGACAAGGTCTGAGTTGCTTAGTGCCTCACTGTTGCTGAGGCTGGCTTTGAACCCATGATCCTCCTGCCTCAGCCTCCTGAGCCACTGGGATTACAGGCATGTGCCACACGCCCGGCCTGTGACCCTCTTTTGATGCTGTAGCCATGACCAGCCCACTGACCGGAAGAATCCCAGGCCAGCCCTCCCAGGGGACACGGGCACTCGGAGAGACCCTGGGAATGTGAGAGACGCGGTAACAGTGGCCGAGTCGGGGGTGTTGAGGCAGCGTGAGTCCTGGAAGACAGCGACCCCTCTCTCTCAGTGTCGGGCTGGACCTGCCTTTGTTCTTTGCAGCCAGGGACAACCCCAGGAAAAGAGGGTGCAGTAGAGCCCCCACCATTTCCCCGTTAGAAATTCTACTTACCTGGACCCAAAGACAGTCTCTGAGGCCTTCAAGGAGGAAAGAGCAGTGGTGGACAGGTTGTGCAGGGGACCTGGGGAGCCACAGAATGACAGACTGAGGCCCTGTAGGTGACCTGTCCAACTGCTCACTGCTCAGCTGGGGGAATAGAGGCCCAGAGAGGGGAAGGGACTTGCCTCTATCCCTATGCCTCCAGAGACCTGAGCTAACCACTAGGCAGGTGCTTCTGAGCCAGCTGGTGAAGAGAAGCCTGGAATATATAAGAAACTGACCTCCAAACGTCCTTGAGGGGTGGACCCTGGCCTATTCTGGGAGCTGTGAAAGCTTCACATCAACGTACCCAATGGGGACAGTGGGTTGACACTCTGCCCCTGCACACGGCTGGAGCGTACTAGGCAGAGTGGGGTGGTACAGTGGCCCCTCAGCTGGAATTGGGAGGCCTGACTCCAGGCCTAGCTCTGTCACCAACTTGCTGTGTAACCTTGGGCTTCACCTCTCCAAGCCTCAGTTTCCCCATCTTTAAACTGGGGATAATCCTCTTCTGCTCTTACAAGGCTTTTTGAAGAACCCATAAAGTCCCCAGCACTAGGTTGGTGCTGAGGTCTCCTGCTGAGCCCAGGACCCACCACGGTCACCGTCTTAATTAGGAGAGCCAGTCGCGGCTGCTCACTCACCTTCCGAAGCAGCGTGCTTATCCCGGCCGGGACACAGGATCTCGCCCAGGGACGCAGAGGGGTTTTCCTCCTTGGCTACAATGCAGGAAGCCAGTGAGCCTGGGGGAGAATCCCGACTCCCCCATGGACTAACCACGGGCCCTTGGCCCACTCATTTTCTTTATAAGTTTGGTTGCTAATTGGAGCTAACCCATGCCACCGTGTCATCGTGAGGACTGAAGGAAGTGACACCAGCTCACGCTAGTGCCTGGCTAAGTGCTCAGCTGCCCACCCGACAGGGACCGGGGCTTGGTGGCTGGGGCAGAGGTGGGCATCTCCTCCCAGGGCTGTGCCTCCCTGAGGAGGCGCCAGAACATGGCACGGACTTCCCGAGGGGCTCTGAGTCCCAGTTCCTCACCTGTAAAGTGGGGGTGACAACTGCACAGACTATTTTCAAAAACACACAATTAAGGTGATTAGTCTTAGAATTGCCATTGCAAGGGTCAATGAGCTGGACCATCCACTCTAAGGGAGTATCCCGGTGACAAAAGCTTCATGGGCAAATATGTGCAGCAAAGCTTCTGTCTCCCCAAATGAGACTGTTCACACTATAAGGACCAGGTAGAGTTTTGTGGGTGACCCTGAGAAACCAGCACAAGAGTGAACTAGAGACTAATGGCTGACTCACTGAGGGGACCAGGAGGCAAATAGGATGAGGCTCAACCTCATGGCCTCTGGGCCAAACACTGGGTTCAAATCTTGGTGCCTTCACATATCTGCTGTGTGATCTCAAGTGAGTCACTTAACCTGTCTGAACCTCAGTTTCCTCATATCTTAATTGGGAAACAAACAAACCAAAAAGACCCTTCTCAACATGGTTATGAGGAGACCTGGATAGTAACAGTGTCCAGTGCACAGAACACTCTCCATGTTAGCCATCACCTTCCTTAGGGAGAGAGGGGAGGTGGGGTAGATAAGAGTTCAGAGTTTGAAGAGTGTCAATAGAGGGACAATGGAAAGAAAGGGATTTGTGGTTTTGGTCAAAGCCACTGGCCACCAAGAGCTGAACTGTGGAGAAGGCAGGGGTAGATGGCAAATTCCCTGGAGGTTCAGCCTGGCTCTAGGGTGGAGCAGGTGCCCCCGGGGTTTAAAAGCCACAGGGGCCAAGCCCTGGGCAGAATGCTTTAATTTGGAAGAGCAGCTTTGGGTTTCCGTCACCTCCTACAGTGTGGATAGAACATTCTCACCGTCTGGACGCTGAGCTGGTGGCCACAGGGGACCTCTGATGTCCTCCTCATGCATGGCGGAAGGCAGGGCCTCCTCACTGTGCATGTGAGGGTGCCAAGGAGAGGGTGAGGGATGGCTCAGGCTGCCTATCTGCCTATTGGGTTTCCTGGCATCTAGAGCTGGGGGCGGCCTTGGAGCCTGGAGGGTGGACCAGCCCCTGGGGTTAGTGCCCGTGGGGAGGGGAGACGTGCAGGGAGACCCTGTTGCTCCTGGGCACCCTGCAGCCATCTCCCCAAAGACAGAGCCGTGTCAGTGGCGCTGTGCTTGACCCATGTGGAGGCCCTCTGCCCGTCTTAGGCCTCAGACAGCCCTGGGAGGCCTGGCCTGGTGCTGGCCCTGCCTAAGGAGTCCAGAGCACAGACTCGGAGAAGCCTCTGGGGCCTCCGACGTGGGGGTGCAGGAACTTCAGGGGCCTGGGCTTCTGAACATACCCCACGTGGCTCTTACTTAGGGTCTGGAATTTGCAGTCTCCGGCGGCCGAGTCTTCTTTGAGTGTGATCTGGGACTGTCCGAAGCCAGTAGAAGCGCCTCTCCACTGTCGGGAAAGGCTGATCATCCGCAATGGGGCACCTTCATGGAGCACAAGGAGAAGGATCAGTGGTGCACGCGTGCTTGTCCTATCTCCTTCCCCAAGGCTGCAGAGACAACTCTGGCTTCCACTCACAATGATCCCAAAGCAGGAGAGCAGAGTACAAGGCCAAACCATAAGCTCTGGAGTGAAAAAAAGACCTGGGTTGGAACCTTAGCCCTTCCTAGCCAGATGGGATGTGGTCCACTCTGACCCTGAGATTCCCTACCTGGAGAATGGGAATAACCATCTCTGCGTGGCCAGGTGGATACCACTGCTGACATGATGTGGATGAAACAGCAAGGTTTCCAGGAAGTTAAAGGGCTGGTTTTCTCCAGACCACACCATTCTCCTCCTCCCACCGCAGTCCATGAGCATACTAAGGGTTCTCAGAGGTTCTGCCGCAGAGAATGTTCTTGGTCACTAAGTATACTTCCTGACATGGGACTTCCCATTTTTGTGTCAAATGGATATTCCCAAGATGAGAAACTAGAGTTTGAATTTTTCAGAACACACACACACATGGGGAGGTGCTGGTCCAGGCCTAGGGAGCTCTGGGACTTGGGTTAAGATGCGGGCCAGGTCCTTGACCGTCGGGCTGCACCGGGCATGTTAGCAGCCCAGTGGGAGATGGGCGGGAGTGAGAGGCGTCCTAGCAACATGAAGGGACATGCAGTGGCCACAGCCTGCTATCCATGGCTGCTGACCCACGCCTGAGATGGCAGCAATCAGCAGTGATGGAGGGATGGGTGACTGATCATTGAGGTACCATAGATGAGAAAAGGGAACAGGGACAGGAGGAGGGAGAAAGGGCCCATTTTGTTTCAAACACTTTTTTTTTTTTTTTGCAGTTCTGTGTGTGTGTGTGTGTGTGTGTGTGTGTGTGTGTGTGTGTGTGTTTTTAAAAGGAACTGCAAAGAACAGGAAAATGAAATCCAGTAAAGAAGCAGCACAGAGTTCAGAAACACGAAAAGTATCTCATAAAAAAATTAAAGGAATGCCCCAGAGAGAGTCTTTTCTCCTCTACTAGGTGGGCAGAGTTTAGAAAGGTAAGCAGTACTCAGTGCTGGAGAGGAGGGGTGGGGAGGAACCTGGGGGGCGAGGGGCAGTGTGGTAATGTGCACAAGGATTTTAGATGGGCACTATGGCCACGGAAGGCCTACTTGTCAGACGGGTGCACCAAGATGTTCTTTGCAATAGAATTTCCAGTCACCAATGAGAAGTCATCCAAAGGTCTAAACAGGCTCAAAATGTGACAGATCTTAAAAGGCAATGAGAAGAGACTCTGGAGCCAGGGCACTGGATTCAAAGCCCGGTTTTGCTTGTCACTCTGTGTGACCTCAGGCAAGTTCCTTAACCACCCCCTGCCCCTGTGTCCCATCTATAAAATGCTAGTAATACAATTACTCTGCGGAATTATCTTATGAGAGTTAAATGATTTAGAAAATATACAAAGCACTTTTGGATGCTTTCTGATTAGCTATTATTTTAAAATATTTTTAAATTTTAGATGGATGTAATAACTTTATTTATTTAATGTGGTGCTGAGGATCAAACCCAGTGCCTCACACTCTACCACTGAGCCACAACCCCACCCCCCTAACTGGCTATTTGGATGATAGCTGATCATCAAATCACATTCTGCTGCTGTAGAATATGCTACAACTATTAAAATGAGCACCTAGATTCCCCTTCGTAGACAGATTTTTACATACCCAGCTTTTGTAAAATACAGCACATTTCAAAATGTTCCCATCATTGTAACATTATCTGTCTTTTGATTTCTCTAAGTGTAGATACCCATCAAGAGAAAGTTATTTTATCTTTCTATACTTGGGAATTTTCTATAAGAACAACATAGCATTGCCCCCCCCTTTTTTGGGGGGAACACAGTAAAGTAATTTTCATTTGGTGGGAAAAGTGAGTAGGATGGAGACTGATGTGTCCCCTGCCCGGAGGAGGGTGGACCATGGGTGCTGGGAACTTCCTGCTTCTAGGCCCTGCCCTGCGTCTCGTCTCCCTGCAGGTCTGTGCTCCTTTGTGTCTCAACCCCTCCTCCAGTCCCTGGGGTTGGGTGGCCTCAGCAGTGCCCGGCCGCCAGCCTCCTTACCGGAATTGGGATACTCCACTCCCAGGGGCAGGTACCGGCTCTTGCTCACGTCCACGGGCACGAAGGCTGTGTATTTGCTGATGACATTGCAGGCCCTGCTGGTGTGCACCGCGTTCACTTGGTAGCGGCGATGGGACCCTGCAGGGGAGGAACCCGAGTCACTACTTGGTCTTGGGAAGTCCTGCAGGACGGAGAAGCTCTAAAAGCTAAAAAAGAGGGCTCCTCCACTGTGGTCTCCATCTTTGGGATGAAATCGGCCTTTAAAATCAAGGGGTTGCCCACTTGCTCATGAAAGATGTTAAGAAAACGACCATCATTTCATTTCACAAAATAAAGGATGTTTTCATGTAAAAAGTAAACCCATTATCTGAGAAGAGAGCTAATTCCCTGAAATCAGTTCAGTGTTGATTCTTAAATAAACGATATTGTCTGTTTTTATATTTTAATTTTGCAGATGTCGAATGGAAACCTTGCTACAGGACTTCATAGGGGTGGGTGGGAGCCACCTACCTGACCCATTAAACGGCCAAGAAGATTGAAAATCAGAGAGGGAGGGTGAGAATGCTGGGTCACCCAGCAGATGAGTAATGGAACCTGAGATTCTGGCTGTGTGAAGAGTCAAGGGGATAAAAGGTGGAAATGTGCTTGGTAAACTGAAAGAAGTGCCCACAGAAGCAAAAACTAACAGGCATTATTCAAATATAAATAAAAAATAAACAACATCATTATGTAAATAAAACATAACCTCAGTCAAAGAAATCATACAACTCTATATCTCCTGTTGTTCTCCAAATGTGCTCCATTAAGATCCTAAAGTCACCACTTGGAGGAAAAAATGCGCCAATTTCTGGACTAAATGAACTCCCCTCAGTCCATTCCTATTGTACAGTGGCTTCATCCCTGGGTTTCTTCTTAATAGCACTTAGGAAAAATGCACTCAAGTACATATTTGTTCTTATCTTTTATTACTAAATGAGTATTACTTTATGTCATAGTAAGAATAATCATTAAAATACTTGGCATAATAAATACCTGAAAGACATTTTATTTTATGAATGTATTTTTCTTTCTTGCCATAATGGGGACATTATGAATCATACATTTGTATTAATGACATTTCTTAAAACAAAGCAATGTATGTATGCAACTGTAAACTAAACAAATCTACAAACTATTGTAGGCATCTGGAAATTCTGTTGTAGGTTCTTTGTTGGAGTGTTTTAATCAGTAGATTCTGTTGTGAATGCATTTGTACATTGTTAGGATACTTTTAAAGATGTTTAGTTGGATAAATGTCTTTGTTGGAGTGATAGCTTGGAAGTTGCACAACTTTTTATTTGTACAAAACTCTATTGTTTAAAAAAAAAAATCACTTCTTGTGTAACTGTTTGATTAATGTCCACCTCTCTGCTAGTCTGTGTCAAGCCCTCCTGGGTGGGGAAGGGCGGGATCTCTTTTGCTCCCTTTGCTGAGTAGCTGAGTCTACGGCCTCGGCTGATTCTCAGTAAGTGTGTGGATCAACAGGTCTAGGGCCCTGTGGGAAAGGACTGTCCCAGAGGAGAGCGCAGGCTATTCCAAAGTTTATCACGTTTTTCTGTCTCCGGAGTTCTACAGGGGACACTGCAGGGGAGAAGCACTGCCGCGATTAGGGACTGGGGGCCTAGGAGATGGAAAGGAGGCTGAAGAGGACGGATCAACCCTTGGGAGGAGCCCAGGGATGGTGGCAGGGAGACCTGGAGGTAGGGGGCCGCTGGCTGATCCAGGAGCGGGCGGAGCCCCGGGCTAGGCGGGGTGGTGAGGGGAGGCACCTGGAGGCAGCGGTGGGAGGCGGAGATGGAGCACAGGCAGAGGGAGGCGGTGGGGAGACTGAGGGGGCTCGAGCTAAGAGCAGGGCGGAAACCAGGCTTGGAGCAGAATGCGAAGGGGCAGGGCCGGAGGCGGGAGGAAGGTGGGTGGAGCCGTGGGGAGGGCGGGGAGATAAGGAAGGGGTGGGGCCTGGAGGCCCGCTGAGGGAGGGTGGATCGCGGAGGGAAGTGGGCGGGCGCTGGGCGGGGCTATAGGAGGCGGGGTCTTGGAGTGGGCGGAGCACTGGGCGGGGCTAGGATGCAAAGGCGTGGGCTCACCTTGCTCGATCTCGCGCTCGCGCTCAGCCAGCTGCTCGAAGTCGCGGATGATGGCGCGGGCTGCCAGGTGGTGGAAGGTCTCGCTCCACAGGTCAACGTCGCGCGCGCTGCCCCGCTCCGGGCCAGGGGGCCCCAGCTCGAAGATCACTTCCCACTGCAAGCGTTGGCTCTCTTGCAGGCCTTTGACCAGAGCCTTGCCCAGCATCAGGCCTGGGGTGGTGGGCCTGCTGGAGCTGCCCAGCTCCTCAGACTCGGCCGTGGGCTCCCAGTCCGAGGATATCTCTGTCTCGAAGGCGGAGGGGTGATGGGATGGTTCTGTGGGCCCAGGGACAAGATGGTCACCCCCCAGAGGATATATCCTTCCCCATGGTGCAGTCATCCCTATGCAAGTAGAACCCAGTCTCCCTTCCCAGGGGCAGACAGCTTCTTTTCTAGGACGACTGGGTGGCATGAGCTTGTCTCCCAGAAAGGATCAGAACCCACTTCCCAGGAAGCCAGAACCTGAGGGGGCCCGATAGGACCAGGTGGGGCACTTGGGCAGAGGATGATCAGGCTGCCCAAAGGTAAGGTTAAGTGGGATTGGTGAGGTCCTCAGGGCAGTGTGGGCCACAACAAACCTTCAGGGGACAGATAGGCATTGGCCCTCTGGGCCTTTTAAATCCTTGGTCACAGCCAAGGATTCTCCTTGTCCCTAGCCAGGTTCTGGATGTTCCTACACTTACCCAAGTCCCCTGGGCTGCGACTGTCCCGAACAGGCTTCAGGCTAGACCCAGAATCCGTGAGTCCCCAGGCCTGGGGCTCCTGGCCCAAGAGCAGGAAGGGCTGGCAGCCTTGGGGCAGCAGAGAGGGCCTGCGGGCCCCTGGGCCATGAAGTTTGGGGCCCCTGCTGAGTTCCTGGCCACTGTTCGGGAAGGGCTATGGGCACAAGAAGAGGAGGAGGAAGAAGAGGAGGAGGAGGAGGAACAGGAACCTGAACCCAAACCGGTGGTGGCAGGACCCTCCTGCCCCAATAATGGATCTTTCCCTGGGCACTGCAACTCCCCTGAGGCACTGCCTTATCCAGGACCCAGTAACTCATAACTATTACTCATGAGAAATATCAACCAAATGATGGATAAATTCTAAGCCAAAAACTAAAATAAACAAACATAACCCCAAACCAAAACAACCATGAAAAATCACATACCATGAATAATTCTAAACCTATTTTTTTTTGGGGGGGGCATAAAGTTTAACATTTTTTATGTGTGTGGTTAAAATTTGTCAACCCTTTTCCTTATGTCTTCCCATATGTCATGCTTAAAAGGTCTTTCCCACGCAACAATATTCTAGAATTTTTATTTTTGTTTGTATGTTTAAATCTTTGAATCACATGAAATTTGTTTTACTTTAGAGACAGAAACCAGATTTTTCTTGATTTTCCAAATGGTACAAACCTCAACACGGTTTACTGAATAGTTTATCCATTGAGTCCCTACAGTTTATCAGTTCCCCACCTCTCTCCCAACACAGATGCCCATTTGGACTTATTTATGAGCTTTCTGTTCCATTTTGATGATTTAATCTATCTATTCTTGTGCTGGTACACACATCAAAAGGAAAGTGGTAAACTGGGAAATAACATTTACAAGATGCATGACAAAGATCATTTTTAAGAAAATGCTCTTATAAATCACTGGAGGAAAAAAGACAAGCTTAATAGAATCATGGGTTAAGGGTGTTCATAAGCAGTTTATAGCAAAACGATCCAATAAACCCAAAAGAAGCTTAGCCTCCTGAAAAAGTAGAGCAATGGAAATTAAAACAATCTAGAAGATTGACAAATACAGGAGACACCTGGAGTCTCTCCTGGGCTGTAGGTTTGAGTGCAAATTGGTACACATGGTGGGAGAACAATTAAGCAATTATTTAGCAACAATTAAAATGAACAAATCCCTGAGATCCAGGATTCCATTTTTAGGAATTCAGTCCTCTAGAAGTCCACAAGGGCATAAGTATCTATGTGCAAGCACTGTATATTTGTTGCAGCATAATTTGTAAAAGTAAAAATCTGGAAGCTACCGATCCATCCGCAGGGGAGAGTGAATAGGGTATGTTAGTTACATCTGTACACAGGAACCTCACAACACTGAGCAAAAAGAGATTTCTTCATACCAATGTGGAAAGATGTCCAAGATAAAACTTATTTTTAAATATTAAGTTGTGACAGTTCTGTATTTTAATTGTGGTGACCATAAAAGACTTTTGCTAAATCTCACAGAACTGTTCACCAGAAAGAGTAATTTTACTGTATATAAAAAGTGAATGAAAAAGACATTTAAAAAGTAAGTTGGAGAGGAGTTTGTATGTGTAATTGTTAGAAATATATGTGTGTGTTGTGCATGTGTGAGACACTCAAAATCAAGTGGTCTAGACTAGGGATGGGGACATTTATTTGTACTTTATTCCTGAATGAACTATCTGAGAATTTTTATTGCAAGTGATGAGTGTGTATTATTTTCGTAACTGAAGAATATTAAATGAATTTAAAATAAATTTCAAATTTCTGGGACCTCATACATCCCCTGGTAGTGGAACATATGAGGAAAACAAAGGCTCTTACTATGTGTAACAGATTTTTTTTAGGTCAATCATTAACCATGGGGCTTTTTCCTATTAAATATTTATTGGGAGGCGGAATATGCCTCCCCATTAAATGGGGGTGACATTCATGCTTCTGGGCCAGAGGTTCTAGGTATAGCACAAGACTGTGGGAGGAGGAGATTGGTCACTTTTAGAATGGCCTCCATGGAAGCTGGTACCTGGCCATGACTGTTGGATCTCAAAGGATCCTTAACCCCATCCCCTTCAGAGATTTGGGATTCCTCCTCCTTCCTTTGCCTTCACCATGATCCATGCTGGGTCAGACCCCTGCCCTCACCGTCATCCGCACTGGGTTAGAGGGAAACCCAAGTTACTATAGATGAATCTAAGATCCAGTTCTTCACAGGCCAGAGGCTGCAGGGAGTGTGTGTGTGTGTGTGTGTGTGTGTGTGTGTGTGAGAGAGAGAGAGAGAGAGAGAGAGAGAGAGAGAGAGAGAGAGAATGCACATGTGTGTAAGTCAGTTGGGGAGAATCAGACTGGGAAGAAGTCAGGGGTGGGTAGAGGTGGGAAGGGGAAGAGATGAGCAAAGGTGGGCCACAAGAGCTTGGGAGCAAGCTGAAGAGAAGTCAAGGGAAGCCAACCTGCCCCAGCTCTCGCCAAGTAAAGCTGCCATCGGATGCCCACTGCATGCTGGGGGCTGGTCAGCACTGTGTCCTCCACCAGCCAATGGCTGGAAGAGTCCTCCACTTGGAGTTGGCTCCCCCAGAATATCTGTTGTTGGTGGTGACTCCATTGCCCATGAAGCTACTCTCTCCCTCTCACTGATGAGGTAGTTGGGGCTCAGAGAGGCTAAGCGATGCAGGTGAGGAAGTGTCGCCTGACTCCTAGGCCAGTGCCTTCCGGTTGCATGGGGTGGTCCCTGGCTAAGCACTGAGGAGAGCTCCCAGGGAGACAAGGTGGCAGTAGGTATCTATGGAGGCAAGGAGGGTTGAGGTGGCTTCTGAGATGGGGAAGGGACACTGGGAAGAGTTCCTGCCTGGTTCTATGGTACCACAAGCTCATGCACCGTTGACATGCAGTCCATTCTCAAGGAAATGGGTTAAACCACGCTTTGGTTTAACACAGTGGTTCTCAACTGATTGATGTAGCCTCCAGGGGACATGTGGCAACGTCTGAGGACATTTGTGGTTGTCATGACTGGGGTTGTTGTTGGTTTCCAGTGGGCAGAGGCCAAGGGTGCTACGGAACCTTCTATCATGCCCGGGATTGTCCCTTTCCCCAGCAAAGAATTATCATGGCCATGGTGCTGAGGTGAGAAACCTGATTTCACGAAACACCAGGTGACCTTTCTACCCAGCCCTGACTTGAAATCCCCTCTGCCCTGGGTGAATTTCCAGCTGCTGGGATTGGAAGAGAAGCAGGGGGGAAAGTGGAGCTTTGAAGACAGAGGGTCCTGGGTTACAGTTCCCTGGCAGGTTGTGTCACTCTGGGGAAGTTGCTTTACCTCTCTGGCCTCAATTTCTGAGTGTGCACTGAGTGGGAGTGATTGGACCCCAAACTACCTCCTCTCCCAAATGTGCTATAAAATCTAATGACAGAGTAGATGCAGATAAATGTGCCTTGCCAACTGGGAAGTGCTGTATGCAGAGAGCAGGCGATCTCATTGATAAGTGAGCATCATT